GGATCCTAAAATGTGTGATGCCAAGCACAGCTGTAGGGATGCAATACAGTCTTGGAGAGAGTGTGGCAAGGGAGATGTAGTCCAGAATGCAATGTAAGATGGGTGCCCTAAAGTTGTCCAAAAGATGTCCCAAAGGTGTGCTGACGCACGAGTGGTTAGAAACCACAGTCCCCAGAGCAGTCCTCCAAAATTATCCTGACATCACGCTCAGAGGTGTGAAAAAGCCTCTGCCTGTGAGGGGAATGGCTAGTACAGAAGGGTTGGATTTACTAGTAGCTGAAGAAACTGGGATTGAATAGGACATGAACAAACATGAAGATCTCCATGTGATCCAGACAGCACCAGGGCACTGGTGTGTGCAATCACAGAAGTGCTGGGTGGGAATGGTTGGGCTCAGACCTGCAGGGTTCAACAGATACAGAGGAGCACACAGCTTCCAGTCTGTTCCCCACAGGATGGGGATCCTTGGAAGTCCTAAAAATTAAAAATTCTAAAAAAAAAAAAAAAAAAGCACTAAGAATGGAACTTTTAGCATTGTTTCCAAAACAATGTAGAGAGAAGAAATATATCATGAAAGCTTTATTAGAAAACAAGCAGCAAAGTGGTGGCCTGAGTACATCTTCATCAGGCGGACCAGGGAGACCGTATGGGTAGAAACAAGGAGAGCTTGTTAAAAGGAGATTAAAAGGAGCAGGAAACAGCAGCTCATCCATTTCCAATCCCCTGCTATGGGGACACCCTCCACCAGACCAGGTTGCTCCAGGTCCTGTCCAGCCTGACCTGGAACACTTCCATGGATTCTCTGGGTGACATGTGCCAGAGCCTTACCACGCTCACAGGGAAGAATTTCCTCCCAATATCCCATCTAACCCTGCCCAATGGCAGTGGGAAGCCATTCCCTTGTCCTGTCACTCCAGGCCTTTGTCCCAAGTCCCTCTCCAGCTCTCCTGGGGTCCCTTTAGGCACTGGAAGTGGCTCTAAGGTCTCCCCAGAGCTTTGTCTTCTCCAGAGGAGCACCCCCAGCTCTCCCAACCTATCTCCAGGGCAGGGGGACTCCAGCCGTCAGAGTATTTAAGTGGCCTCTTTTGGACTTGCTCCAACAGGTTCAGGTTTCTTGTGCTGAGGGCTCCAGTCCTGAAGGCTCAATTTGTCTAGAGATCTCCAGAAGTCTCATTACCTACTGAAAAAATAGCAATAAACACCAGATTTGTAGGGACTTATGAATAAAGGGAAATGGCAAGGCAAGTGGTTATGGACCAAAGGCTGCCAGAGCTCAAGGAACATTTGCACAATGCTGTTTGGAACAGGGTGGGATTTTGGGGTGTCCTGTGCAGGGCCATGAGCTGGACTTTGATGATCCTTGTGGGTCCCTTCCAACTTAGGATATTCGGTGAATCTATGATTCTGTAAATACAAAAAACTGAGGAAGAGTCAACATAGCTTTTAGCAGAATATTGTGGCTCGGAAATCTGTTCCAGCTGTTGCAAGAAGAGGTGGTGTGTGTGGACAACAGTGATCTGGTCAATACAGTGCCATCCAAAAACACTTTTAAGAAAGTCTATCATAGAGTTTTCAAAGACACTGAGCTGTAACAGATCAACAGCTTGCAAAGATAATGCAAACTGGTAAAAATTCAGATTTCCTGTTGGATCTCCACTCGGGCTGGAATTTTCAGCGTATTCATTATATGGAAAAAAAGTCTGCAAATAGGATGATGATGGTGTTTCTGCTGGAGAAAATAGTTCAGAACTGTCACAGCTAAAGGTGGCTAGAGAGCACTGCAGAAGTATTTCAGGCTTCAGAGCTAGTGGGTGATAACATCAGAAATGAAAGTCAATACTGATAAGGGTAAAGTAAAGCACATCCCTCACTGCAGACTGGGGAACTCTAGATTAATGCCAGTCAAGTGTTAAAGGTAACTGTAAGCAGTTCCCTGAAAACATCAGCTGAAGGTTCATGAGTACTTAAAAAGTAAAAAGGGCTGCAGATATTGCAAGGAAAATATTAGTTGCCCTGGTATAAAACAAGCTCACAAGTCTGTGTGGCTTTGGTGCTTGGCTCAGAAAAGATGGAGAAACACTGGAAAAGGTCACAGAGACAAAGAAAATGGGTGGTCAGAAGTGGGAATGGCATCCTTGCAAGAAAAGCCATCAGGAAAGAGGTGTTAGGAAAGAAGTGAATGAGGTGACAGGCACTGACAGTGTAGACATGGATGCAGTAGGAACAGGGAATGGTTAGAGGTGGTTATTCAGCACTTTTCAGAGCTAGAGGTTGGAGTGGATGATCTCCAGAGGTCCCTTTGGACCCTGACTGTTCTGTGATTCTGGGGGCACCGAGCAAAGGAAGGGCTGGCATGTTCATCTCAGGAAGTTGTGAAAACAAAAGTCTAATCGGCCTTAATAAGGAATTGGATAAACTGATAGAGGACTGGAACTATTAAAATTCTTTATGTGTCCAAATCAAAGCTGACTGATGGAAACTTGGCACAGAGGTGCAAGTTCACCCTTGGCCTTCCCTTGCTCAGGTAGGTGTTTTTGGGCATAGAGTGAAATCTTCCAGACTGTCAGGGTGAGAGACATCCCTGGCTTGTCAGAGCCACCCGGGCAGCTGTTCCTCAGGCCCAGGCAGAGAAAGTCTTTGTACTTTCCATCTTTGGCTGCAGATGAATAAAAGATCTGAAAAAAATAAGGAAATTATACATTGTGCAAGCTTACCATGTTCCCTAGGAAACAATTGTGAAGTCCATATTAAATCCTTTGAAAAAGGTTGAAAAATCCTGATTCAGGGAAACATGACGTATTGTCTCTGCCTGGAAAGAAATTTTCTGCTATATATTTTCTGCTTGCCCAGAGAAGCTGTGGCAACCCATCTCTGGAAGTGTTCAAGACCAGGTTGGACAGGGCTTAGAGCAACCTGGTCTAGTGGAAGATGTCCCTGCCCTTGGCAGAGGGATGGAACCAGATGAGCTTTAATATCCCAAACCATTCAGTGAGTCCATGATTCGAGATCTGTGCAATGAAATTCTTGGTGCTTTTTTCCTTGGATGTCCTCACTCCCATTCTCTGTCTCAGGGAATCCTGTCCTGGTGCTGACAGGATCTCAACACTCCATGCAGAAGCAGGACAGAGTAAGGAACATGGAAAAGAAAATTGCAACCTGCAGCTAGACTCCTTATAGAATATTTCTAGGCTCTCCTTGTCTGCCAGACTTCCCACAGGAAGCTGCCTGTGGGACAAACCCTGGGCAAGAGCACCCTCTGGGGACCAACAGAAATGTAATGGTGAGATACACTTCTCAAATCCCTTCTTTTCACACTGATGTTGCATTTTAAGTGGGTTTCATGATGGTGATGCACGCCAGGTTGTTTGCCCAGAAAGCGGAGCCTGCTGGGGAGGGCTGGCTCACTACACCCCATCTCTGTACTGTGGGACAAGCTGAGCCTCCCTGGAGAGAGCAAGAGAGGCCTGAGGAAACACAGCAACCTTGGAGCTTGTAGGAAAAGTGAGGTATCACTTCAAAATATCATTAAATGGTTTGGGTTGGAAGGGACCTCAAGCATATTTCATTCCATCCCTACTGTCATCACCAGGGACATCCTCCACTATCCCAGGTTGCTCCAAGCCCTGTCCAGCTTGGCCTTGGGCACTCCCAGGGATGGGGCAGCCACAGCTTCTCTGGGCACCCTGTGCCAGGGCCTCACCACTCTCCCAGGGAACAATTCCTTCCCAATATCCCATCCATCCCTGCCCTCAGGCAGTGGGAAGCCATTCCCCCTTGTCGTGTTACTCCAGGGTCTTGTCCAAAGTCCCTCTGCAGATCACCTGGAGCCGCTTTATGCCCTGGAAGGAGCTCTAAGGTCTCCCCAGAGCCTTCTCTTCTCCAGGTGAACACCCCCAGCTCTGCCAGCCTGTCCCCAGAGCAGAGGGGCTCCAGCCCTTGGTGCATCTCAGTGGCCACCTCTGGACTGGCTTCAACAGCTTCACATCTTTCCTCTGCTAAGGACCCCAGAGCTGGAGGCAGCTCTGCAGGTGGGGTCTCACAAGGGCAGATGGGGACAATCTCTTCCACTTGACAAATGTCACACTGGTTAAAGATAAAGAGGGGACACGGTGCAGAAGAGATTTTACTGCATCTTGCTAAGGAGATGCACCATGAGGATGGATTATCCAATGGAATTGTCTTTCCTGTCATGGAAGGGAATTTGGTGCTGGGAGCAGAGGTGGGTGGCACTGCCCCTGAGCTGCCTCTCACCCTACTTGGATGCATAGTGGGTGCCCAATCTGGGGGGGGAGGCATTAGCAGAGGGTTCCTTTAATCATACATCTCCATGTGTATCTCAAGGAAAGAGACTTAGCCAAGAAAAAAAAAACAAAAATATTTCTAAACATGACAAGAAATTCCCAAGTTTGACAGCCAAGAACCTTTTATTTTGGTTATTGTCTCCTACACTGGGTTTAGTCTCCATTCTGAGCTGGCAGATGCCTACTCCCTCCTGTCACACTCCTCATGACTCACTGCAGAGGAGCAGGAGGCAGCAGGAGGCAGGGAGAAAAATCCCACATTTCAAGGCAGACATGCAGTAAAATGACAGTGTAAGAAAATCACACACAAGCCCAACAAAGTAATAGAAGATTTGTTATTGATGATTTTTATTCTCTAGCTTATGTCTCTATATTGATGAGGAAATAGCTTTCATCTCCCTGAGCCAAAGGCACTCCAAGACTCACATGCCACTGGAGGTGATTTTAGTACATAAATACCATGGAGGCTGGAATGGGTGGCATCTGCTGAAGGGTTCTGCCCTCAAAGATGAGGATGTATCCTAGAATTATGAGGGCTGGAAAAGTCCTCAAGTCCTACTGTTCTTCTATCACTGACTCTGGGAAGTCATCATTGCCCTGGCTCAGGGAAAAGCTGATCTGCAGTGCTAGAAACCCTCTAATGCATTAACCTCTTTGAGCACTTCAAAGGTCTGAAATAGACTTTCACAACTCAGACAGTTCTTTGAATACCAATTTATTTGACTATTTAACATCTATTAAGCGTTACATGCAGGAGGTTCGGAGTGGCAAGTTGCCTGTACACTTTAGTATTTGAGCAAGATCGTCAGCAAAATTAGGTTGTTTTCCTGAAACTAAAGATGTAAAATAATTGACAACACCACAGAAGTCTACTGGGTTGACCATTTCACATGTTACATGAAACACACTACCAGCATGGAAACTTCTGAGTTTCCAGGAGACTGTTTCTATTATTAATGCAATTAAAATTATCTGACTCTGAACTAGAGGACACAGGCGCAGCTGAGAAGTAGAGAAAATCTACAGGAGGAAGAAGAAGTGGAAAATGCCTTATTTTATTCAGTAGCTACATATGACCAACCTCTGCAAAGACCCCGTGGAACACCCAGTTTGGTTTTGCTTTGTTCCAATTCTTTGGAGAGCCAGAAGAAGCCCCAAGTTGGACAGAAAGGAAATGAAAATGCAACTAGCAGTAGGTGGTGGGCTTGATGAGGATGGCTGAGGCTCTGCAGTTCCCTGGGCAAAGGTTGCCCCATGTCAGGGCCCCTTTGTAGTTCAGACGCACAGAGTAACACGCCGAGTACCACCACCCGCCCCCGGAGCTGGCAGCACAGTTCCCACTAGAAGTGTCCTGATCTCGATCTTTAGCAGAGAATTTCATGTTATCGTGCATGGTGGTCGTGCCCTTGGAGGCCATGGCATCCTCTGCTGTCCCTGAGTGCGCTCCCAGCCTCAGCTGGTAGCCCTGGGACTCATCATCCAGGCTGAACAGGTTGTAGTCTGCGAACTTCTTGTTGTTTGAAGAATCCCAGATGACAAACCTGACCTGATAGACCTTCTGCCTGGTGATCTGGTGGATGTACTCGGTGCCCAGCCAGAACTCAGTGTGCACATTCCCAAAGCCGTGTTTGTAGGTGCTCCAGGACTCATCCCAGCTGACTGGTGTATCTTTATTGTTCCTCTGGATAACAGTCCAGCCTCCATCCTCCTTGCTTATCTCACAGTAGACAACAATGGTTTGCTGTTCTGTGGGCTGAATGATGTAGATGCCACTGGGGCTGCTAGCAGGGAGCTCACTGCAGTCCTTGGGCCAACCTGGGGCATGAGAGAACATTGGAGGACCAACGCACAACATCCCAGTCTGCTGTCCCTGCAACCCTGGCACCCACTGCATCCCTAGGGTCTGGAAGGAGGAAACCTCATTCCCTTAGCATTGGACCCTGTGGTTGGCTATGAAAGCCCAGCTTTGCTCAGAAGGGACATCCTCTGTGGACTTGTGGCAGCAGAGTAATGGCAGCAAAGTAATGGTAGCAGAGTCCTCTGAGATCACAGAATCCCAGAATGGGTTGGCTTGGAAGTGACCTTACAGCCCATCTTATTCCACACCCCCACCATGGCCAGGGACACCTTCCACTAAACCAGGTTGCTCCAAGCCCCATCCAACCTGGACTTGGATGCTTCCAAGGATGGGCCAGTCACAGCTTGTCTGGGCAACCTGTGCCAGGTCCTCACCACCTTCGTTGTCTGACATTTCTTCCCCATGTCCAACCTGACCCCACCCTCATTCAGTGGCCTTCAAGTTTGGAGGAGCACTTGGAGTTCTGCTGAGGCACTGGACTGGCTGCTCCCCAGGCTGAGTGCCAATCTGCCACCACTGTGCCTTCATTCCCTACAGCCCTCCCAGTTCCCTGGGGGATGTGGGTGCTCACCACTGCGGCCCTGTTCCTGCTGAGGGTCAGCTGCCCGGTTCTGGATGATCCCTCCAGCTTCACCTGCATCAGGAAAACAAGGAATGAGAAGAGCAGCTCTGTGCCACAGCACAGAGGTAAGTCCAGCCCCCACAGGATATTATTTCCAGCACTAAGTTTTTTGTAGGGCATTTCAATGATGCCACTTGGCTCACTTTTCTTCCTGTGTGTTAGTTTTTGGTTGGAAAATCTTCAAAGAGATCACAGACTAGGAATGGGAATGCTGCAGTCATTAAGCAGCTGCCTATTTACTCCTCTCAGCAAGGAGCAGATGGCATATCCAAGTAGAACCATGGAATCATGAATGGTTTAGGTTGGAAGGGACCTTTAAAAGACCACCTAGCCCAACCCCCCTGCTATAAGCAAGGACACCCTCCACTTGAACAAGTTGCTCAGGGTAGTGTTGATGAGTAGAAGGATGTGCAGGAGAGAAGGATCGAGAGGGAAGTAGACCATGGGTGCTCTCAGGCCAAGATCAAACAGCTGGAAGCTGTTCCTGTGAACCTGCTTTTCAGTGATGAAGGATTCATATGTTTGTTCAATTCATAAAGAGCTGCAGAAACCTTCAGAGTGTGAGGGAACTCATAGCTATGAGCGAACAATGCTCTGTTTAAGAGAAATCCCAGCACCCATCTCAGTCAGACAGTTTCCCTGAGAGCCTCTGGAATTGTGACCTCCATCAGTGGTGCGATGAGCTTTTAGAACCATTTAGCCAAGTGCAAGCTTCAGCAAGCATTCTGGTTATTCATTTATACAAAGTCTCTCTGAAGTTTCAGGGCTCTGAATGAACTATGCAAATATATATGGGAAGAGAATACATAAAGGAACAGAAACAGTCTATCTAGAAAAAGCTGCCACATACAATCTTGTCAATAACAAAGAAGATTGAATTACCAAATCTGGTGAAGTTTGGTTAAGATATTAAATTAGAGGAAGATTTGATCAGGATCCTTTTATTTCCACAAGAATATTTTCCACACGTCCCTTTCTGTGCAGAGGAGAGGGCTCCTGATATTTGCATGAACAGAGTTCAGGGATGTAAGACAGAAAACACATACCAGGAAGAGGCCCGTTGGAATGGATATTAACAATTTCATCTAAATTTACTTTCAATCTCTCCAGGTTTTCAATGTGCAGAGCAAGAAGCGGGGATAGCAGGGCCAGCACGGACATGAAGAACAGAGGACTGTAGTGATGAGCAGCTGGAGAAAGAAGATACACAGTGAATCTGGAGGAGAACTGGCATGTTGGGTTGTGGGCATCGCTGGTACCTAAATGTACTCAGGATCTACTACAGGAGGGATAAACAAAGCACAAGGGACCTAAGACCTTGGAAAGAAAGGCAAGGATGCCCAGCTGCACACAGAATTCATGCCATGCCATGCCATGCCATGCCATCCCATCCCGTCCCATCGCATCCCACCGCACACTTACCCATGCTGTCTCTGTTGAGACCCTGTGGAGTGGGGAGCTGAGTAGGTCTGGTCTGGTGGCCAACACTGATGTTATATAGAGCTCATTGGTGAGGTGAAACAGCTGATCAAATAGGAGTACTCATCCATTCCTGGAAATTTAGGGTCTGTTTGTCCTCTGCAGGTATCTCTGCTCATGCACCATCTGTCGTGTGTCTGTGGTAAGGGTTCCCAGCTGCTGGGGTTCACACAGAATTCCACGAAACCAAGAAAAGCTCCTGATAACAGCTACCAGGACCATGGCAGGGGCCCCTGGGGTCGGCCAGCAGGTCAGGGGGGAGGACCTTCTGGTGCTGCCCAAGCACTGAATGAAAAAACCCCACAAAACACCCAAACCACTTTTAGGAGAAACATGACAAAATGTAAGCACAGGCTGCTGCATGGTGCAGGGAAGGGGCTGATCAAGAGGTGACAAAGCCATTTCTCACCTTGCTTCAGGCCTGCACGGGCTGTCCCAAAGCTGCAGCTCCAACTACTCTGCTCCTGACTGTGCCCCGGCTCTGTCTTTCCTGCTCAAGCATCCCGAGGGCTGCTCAGGGATCCTGATGGTGATGGGCACTTTGTTCCCCAGAACTCCAGGTTGTGGCACCCTGGCTCCACCAGGACCTTGTCCTCCTGCCCACCGTGGTGGTGCATGAGCCCAGTTTGTGTGACCAGTTCCTAGGGCCGTGAACTGGGCACTGGGGCACAGTCAGGTTAGGGTGCAGGTGGTACACAGGGATAGTACCAGGCAGTGGTGGTACAACAGGTACAAGAAATCCTGCTCAATACTGTATGGAAAACCACAGTATGAAAAGCCAGTGCCCATAAAGGAGACAGAGTCCTGCAACTTCATTCGAATAAAGGAAAAAAGTTCACTGTGTCACACACCCATTGGGTTTTTTCTCTCAAGGTTTTGGAGGACGCAGCCTCCTTTGATCCTGTCAGGAAAATTAATCCACAAACACCAGAGGTTCATGTCCAAAAAGGAGACAGAGGAGTTGTTGGGGGTTGGATCTCCCGGTGGAATTTTTCCCATTGTAATGTTGAGAGGTTTGCAGGCTGCACCCTGGCCGGTGATGGGGGCAGGTGGGGGGGAAAGAGAAGGAACACTGCGAGATCGGGGGCAGCTGCGCTCTCTCGCTCGTCTGGCTCGGGGAAGGACGGTCGCTAGAAACTCCGCTCTGCCATCCCGACACAGGGAAACTGCCTTCCTTGGCTGTGGGATCCCGCAACCTCCCTGCTCGGACGCTCTCCCGCTGACTCCAAGCCTCCTGTTTGGCACACCGGGACCGACACTGCCCTGGGACCTGTGAGCAGTGTGATAAATGTGATTCGTGTTAATTAAATTGTAACTATATTAGCAAAATTGTATTTAGACCGATAGAAGACAATTGGTACAGAGTGAGGGGGAGATGGGTGAGACAGGGCAAAGGACATCTTCCAGATGTTGGGAGTCGAAGAAAGATGTTGGAAGGGAATAGTAGAAGGACGTAGGTCTGACGAGCAGCATCTAGAAATAGAAACTTTCGACCTTGAAATGGGCGAAATTGGAATGATTCCAAGCATAGGATTTAATGCTTTGGAAAACATCTGCTGAGTCACGTAGTGGCCATGCGCTCCCTGTAGGTTACACAGAGGACACTGACGAAGACGATGAGCCTTCACCGGAAATAAGACCCTCAAAAGGATGAGAGACCCCCTAACCCATTAGTAGAGCACGCGCCCTACGACACAGTGACACAGATTTTAGGAATAGAAACTAGGAAGAGTTTTCTAGAAACTTCTGTAGCATATAGTATATAAATAAGATTTTTGGCCTTGATACTTTGGTACGTGAGGAATGGCGAGCCACTCCTCGTGCCCCTGGTGGGGGGGGGGGGCGGGCCTCCTCGGTCAGTTTTGCTTATGCTTTATACAAACCTCAATTATACTAAATTACTTACTGTCAAATTTTGTATATTCTTAAATATATGCACTTTGATTGTATTCATCTCCAATACTTTAATTGTATTAATTTATAATTGCTACTATTAAAAATTTGCTGCTACATTTAATCGTGTTGCTTAATAAATTGGGAAAATAGGATATCATTCATAACAGCAGCTTCTCCCCTCCGCCCTTCTCATCCAGGACACAGCCACCATCAGTGCAGCACCCATGCAGCCACGTGCAATTGCCACATCTCTTCCCTGCAAACCGGGAGTTGGCCAGGGCTGCCAGCTGGGATGGTAACTGCACCACAGGGGAAAGGTGTCCACAACCGAGAGAACTGCGGCTGTGTTTCTGCTCTGTTGTTAATTTCGTCGTTACTGTTATTGTGGTTTGTTTGCCTTGTTTTATATATATATATATATATATATGTATCAGTAAAGAACTGTTATTCCTACCCCCTATATCTTTGCCTGAGAGCCCCTTAATTTCAAAATTATAATAAATTTGAGAGAGGGGGCTTTCTTAGCAAATACCTGTCTTTCAAACGAAGACAGGAGTCCCGTTACTTTATTTGAATAAAGGGAGAGGCCATGGGACATTCCCCTGGCATCTCTCCAATTTTTGGAAGATGCAGCTTCCTTTTTATCCTAATTTCCCGGCTGCATGTGCCTCTCTCTTTCTCCATTGGCTGAGGTACTTGAGAGGTACAGACTTCCTGAATTGCCTAATACCTAAGACCCCCTTCTAATGTATTCCCCCTTTTGTCTTTTCCTTGTGTCATTTAGAGGAATTCCTTATGGAATTTATGGTTCTTCCCATTGTTTCTTTCATCTCTCAGTGTCCAATTTTATTTATCAGCAGACCTACAGTTTGTTTGTAAAGACAAATCTCTCATTCCTTTTATCAATGAATGAAATAATTCCCATTTATTCCTTTGTCTCTCAGTATCTAGCTTTATTTACCAGATCCATAGTTTGTAAAGACAAGTCCGTCATTCCTTTCAATCCTAAACTCCTGGATGCATGTTGCTGTTGCCATAATTATTTTTTGCTTTTATATATTCTAGCTCTATTGTTGTGTAGTTATATGGTTCCTAGCCAGCCCCAGTACTCCCCCCCCCTCCCCCCGATAGGCAGAAAGACAAAACACATTCCAAGGCCCCTACTCTATCTTGGTTCTTCCTGGGAACTAAAGCTGAGACCAGCTATTTGAGACATATTTTCATAAACAAATTTTCGTTCCCATCTGAGGAGGGGGAGGTTTAGAAAGGGGTTGAACCGAGGAGGAATTGACTCACCACTTTGTGCTCCTAATTGGTGATTTTTGTCAGATAAGCTAATTTGCTAAACTTATAAAACTGCATTCACCCTGTGTGGGGGAGGGCATTTTTCATATCTGCCCCTTGGAGGCCTCCAATAAAGACCAGCCTTTATATTATCTCCTACACTAATATTATCTTGAAAGTGCATTGTTTCATTTCGAGATTCTTAAAGGCATCATTGACTTCTTCGTTTCCCGGTTGGCTCAGGTACTAGGAAGATGCAGCCTTCCGGAGCCGCTGATCACATATTCCTGAACCTGTCATTTTCTCCCAAAGTTCAGAAACTCAGGCTTGTGCCGACCCATTTGTCCGTTTCAAGAGTCAAACTGTCTGGGTTCTGTAACAAACCTGTGTCTCGAAGTTGATAGAGACATTAAGACCCATTTCAAAGAGGTTAAACACCCATACTCTCACCCACGGAATTGTTTGTAAAGACATTAGCACACATCTTTCCTATCAATGCCAAAAACTACATTGTCTGGCTGGGATTCTGCGATAACAGAGACTGCACACCCTCCTTCATCCCAGTGAAACCCACAGCCGTGAGCTCACCGCGCCCAGCCTCCCAGAGCGAGCGGAACGGGGGCTGGGGCAGGGGAATGCGCCGCAGTGTCGAGGAAACTTCCCACTGCGACCATTCACGACATTCTCTGTCAGTCACACTCCCAAAGCCAGAGACTTTCATTGCTGAGACAAAAGCTGCTCCACAGGGGGCAGGTTCAGAGGGCCAGCGTGTCTGTGCATTGACTCCACACACACTCCACTCACACGCAGTCAGACCCGGTTTCCTTACCGGTTCAACTCAGGTCTCCTTTAGCAGAGTCTCAGCTGTCTCGGTTCCATAAAGCCATTTATTTATGGCACAGTAACACAGAAACAGCTCGAGGAACCATCCAAGGAGGACATCCAACTAAGGAACCCCCGTGCTTTTCTACCCTCTCAGTTCTACTCACGCACAAGTTTCACTCTTCCTCCTGAGGCTTCTGCTCCTGCTCTATCTCGCAGTGACAATTCACTGACGACACCAGTCTTAGTCCCTTTTATCCAAAAGATTGGCAATTCCCGGTACCTGCAGTGTCTCTCAGTGTCCGTTCACTTGACTGGTGCCTCCCGTCTTCATGCCCACTGTTAACCAAAAGGTTGGCAGCTCACGGCGTCCTGTCTCCGGCTCCCACCCACACATCAATCTGCATCTCAATCTGCAGATTGAAAACCGACCCACCTGCACCAGATGTTTTCCTCACCATCCACATCGGTGCCCCGTTTCCTTTGCAGTCCTGGTGCACGTTCTGCTCTGCCCACAGCTACTGCGCCATCAGCAGCCGAAACACAGCTACGCTGGGGCTCAGGACCTATCACCCAAAGCACTGAGCACATGGACAGCTTCACCTGATGCCTGGAAAGGCTGACCTGGAACAGAGACTAGACAGGGCAAAAGGGATAAAACAGGTATTTATTGAAAGGATACACCTTGGGCAGTGCAAGAGCCCGGCCGTGGCTATACCCAAATCAAATCCAAGATGGATCCTGGTCACAAGTCTTTACA